CTTTTCCACGACATTCTAATTTATTGAGATGCACCTGTAGATACAGTAAAGGCTATCACACACATCCTGATACAATTTCATTAGACGTCAGGAACAAAAGTAAATATTGTATTATAAGAGTGCTCTAAAAAAATTAGATATGTGGCTTCAGTTGTTCTAAAAGTTAGACTTTTATTTTATTTTATTTTAGTAGAAGTGACTAAAAATCTGTACATCCTGTATACTGTTTATACTTTTACAAAACCAAATAAAAACAACACAAATGGTTCATAGCTGAGCTGTACATGGTTCAATTCCCTGAAAGATGCTTTGGATTTTCTGAGCAGACGGCCAAGATTTCACTCATTTCACACTTTTTACTGCCTCTGATGAGATTCCAGCTGAAACAAATAAGCAAAAACTGGGTTTCACTGTACATATAACACAAATAATAACTAAAATGCATGCAGTACAATGTTTTAACATTGACCTTCCTCATTTCTTTTTTCCTCCTATTGTTAAATTTTCACTCTTCTTTTTCTGCACCTAAGAAAAGAAACCAGGATAATAAGAAATAAATAGCTAATGCTAGTTTAAAAAAGCAAAAAAAAAACAAAAAAACATTAATGGTAACCTCATTCATGGCGTCATCTATCTGCTTAAGCTGTAGACATGTGGGGGCGTGTTAGAACGAGCCGTTTTAGGTAGGCGTGGTTGACTCTTAACTTTTATAAAGAATATCTCTTTGGATTTGAGACTTTAGTCTTTGCAACTTTACAGATCTTCTTTATGCACAAAGAGCTTGTAACACTCCAAAGAGAAAGGAAAAATTGAAATCGCATCATATTACCCCTTTAAAATCAGTTGCGCTGTGTGGAAACGTGGACATTTTATTGTGGAATATTTTAGTAAGTGTATATTAAATAGAAATAATGCAAAAATAAATATTTATGGCTAATATAAAGAAATATATATGGCTGGTAAGAAATATTTATGACTGGTAATATAAATGTCAGTGTATATAAGCACTCATGAATGATGGCTCTTACGTGTTGTTGTACCCAGGATGATCCAGGTCATGACACACAGCTGCTGTCATCAAAACAAGAATATCTACTTGTGTGAACTTTTCCTGAAAAACACAGAAGCACAGCAGAGTAAGACTCTTTCTATGTGTGCGTGTTGACAGTCATCATGAGGCCGGGTCTGCACACGTATCCCAGTTCTCAGTGGGAGAACTTGCACAATTGGTGGCTGACTAAATACTTTTTTGCCCCACTGTATATATATATATACTGTATATATTCTTTAAAAAAATCACTTGTACTGTTTTGAAAATCCTTTATTTAATTTGTTATTCCAAACTTGTAAATCTCTCATTATGCTATATTATCACCAAATCTTGAACTCAATCTTTTTGTCAATTTGTTTTCTTTCAATTAACACAGGTTTTGTATTTCTTTTTTGGAACTGACTGATCGTAGAGCACTGATCTGAGCAAATACACTTCAGTTTTTAAATGAAAAAAAAAACAAACATTATTTGTAGATAATTCTGACAATATTCACTCATTAACAGAGGTGCATACGTTCAGATCAATGAACAAGTTTCAAAAAGAAATACAAAATCTGAAAACAATTTGACAAAAAGATTAAACACCACAAGTGTAACAAGGTTGGGGAAACAAATTCGCCCAAAACGTTGTTATACCCAGTGTGAGCAAAGTCAGTAGGTTTTAGTCCAATGTGACAACAGTATTTTCAGGAAAAAGAAAACCTTCTTCAGGTAAAAAATGACCTGAAGGATTATAATTTTATAGTATAGTCTTACCAGCCATCTTTTCAGCGTGATGGGGTTAATATTTAAGTCCTTTACCAACCCGAGGTCATGGTACATATGCTCCAAACAACTCAGCATCTTAAAGTACAAAACACTGATGATAGTATCTTCTGCAGTACAAAAAATGTGGTTTGGCATGTCAGTCATTTTCACCAAGTGTCTATCACACATCTTGTGCATTGGTACATCAACTTCAGTAGAACTTTGCGTCTTTCATTTGGCCGATCCTCACCTCGTTAGGTTCCCATTGCCACACATCGAAGACTGGCTGCCTCAAAGCTTCTACTGTCTCCTGTGAGAGGTGGTACTACACAAGCCCCACAAACACAAGCACAAGCAACAGACGCAGAAGAGAGAAAACAGGGCGAGAGAGAAGGAAGACAGAACAGTGGCATGTTAGACTCTTACCTCGTTGGACTCCCACAGCCAGACGTCAAAGGCGGGTTTTCTGAGGGCATCTATGGTTTGCTGGGAGAGCATGTACTGCAGGTGACAGAGCTCTCAGTTAACCCCCGATGACCAACGCCTGGCTGTGGCCATTGCGTACATCACATTCACATCTATGTTCAACATACCGGTTTTAACCCCAAATAAGAATTCTTTCTTTAAATGTAAATTCATTATTATTTACTCACATCATTATTTACACTCTCATTGTCATGTCATTACAAATGTATGCTCTTTTTTCCACACACAGCTCTTTTCCAGTTTATAGTGAGCACAACAATAAAGCGTCAAAAAATAATACCATATGTAGCCCATAATCTACTATATTCCAAGTCACATACCGAGAGGTCAATAATCACAATAATAACCTCAGTGACATGAAATTGATATTTTTCAATCTTAATGTAAATGTAGATAGGATTTGTTGAGATTTCAATGACTACTTTTACATTTCTTTTATAGGCTTTTGTTGCCGTTGACATCACTGAATCATCAATGAACTGACTTTAACTTGAAAAATGTAAAAATTGATTGACCTCTTGCATTACTGACAAACTATTTTCCTGTTTGCCGCTGTAAAGCTGCTTTCACACAATCTGTATTGTATAAAGCGCTATACAAATAAAGGTGACTTGACTTTACTTCTTGTTGTTGTCAACAAGTCAAGCCTGACTGGCAGAAAAGAGCTATGTGAAGATTTTAATAAATAAATAAAACACATTTCTTTTAATAATTATTAAAAATACTCTACCATTTAAAAGTTTGAAGCCAGTATATATACTTTTTGAAATAAATTAATACTTTTATTAAGCAAGTACACATTAAACTGATCAAAATTAAGTAAATACACTTATATTGTTAAAGATTTCTATTTTAAATAAATGCTGTTCTTTATAAATGTTCTATTCATCGAAGAATCCAGAAAAAATGTTTAGACAAAAATATTAAGCAGCACAACTGTTTACAATATTGATAACAATAGAAAATGTTTCTTGAGCACCAAATAGCATATTAGAGTGATTTCTGAAGGATCATGTGACACTGAAGACTGGCGTAATGATGCTGAAAATTCAGCTTTACATCACAGGAATAAATTACATTTTAAAATAGATTAAAATACAAAACAGTTATTTTAACAGGATTACTGTTCTTATTGTAGTTTAATCAAATAAACAAATCCTTGGTGGCCATAAGAGACTTTTTCTCAAAAACATTAAAAAATCACAACATTTTGAATGGTAGTGTATATGTTCTTTTAAATGTTTTGTAATTATTTTGTAGATATTTCATCAGCATTTTTTTGGGGGGGTGAACTATCCCTTTAAACCTTCCTTAATATATTCTTAAACATAAACCATGTGGCTCTCTAAAGGATAAACCTTGAACCCTGATTACAAACCTTGCTGTAATTAAATGGTACTGTATATGCTGTCCTATATCATATTATTAAAGCAGAATAAGTACACAAAATAATAAAGGAACCCATTACAAACACATCTGCCATTTTACCTTTGGGTATGAAGGCACATCTCTGCGAGGAGTTAACTTCTTGTTGTCATCTAGGAAACTACTGAAAAGGTAAAAAGCACTGAGAGCTCAGTTGCTTTAGTACAGAACATGCTGTGCATTTCATTTTTTAAGCACCATGTCAACATCTCTCAAAGAGAGTTATCTTTGATTCATCTAGATTAGAATCTGATCCTTCACTAATAAGAGAGCATGTGAGAGCCATGTCAGCTCATTAAGACTCAAAAGGGAAAAGACTTGACCTCATCTGTTAGTATTTTTAACAAGAGCTGACTAAGACAACACCTGGGCTGCTTCTTAATTCTCCTCTCATTTAAGCTAGCAGCATGAACAGTGCTATCAATAACCTGCTATAGTTACTCCTTTGTGAAAATGAAGTACACTTTAGCATGTTTTTAAAATGAGTACTTTTTTAGGGCACTTGATTGTATTTTGACTCTTTTCCCGCCATTGATGGGATTTTCCGTCATTTACGACATAATGCTTCCCTGACACTTCACTGTTATATGGTAGGGGGCGATGTTACACATCTTCTGAAATAGTACAGAAGCTCCAGATCCAAAAACAAGTGAAGAAGAAGCAGAAACAAGCGAACTGAAGAAGCATTGCTTTCGCTTGTATCTGATGCTATCATTAAACATTTTCAACAGCTTATAAATCAAAACTGCCTAACAGTACTGAATGAAATGTGGTGTAGGACTATGCAAGCTTTGGGGATGTTGATGGACTCAATTTACTCCATCTATATTTTGATCATCGTTCTGAATCTGATCCTGTCATAGTCTTTGAAAAAAAAAAAAAAAAAATTCTTAGCTTTTCGTTCAAAATGCTGCTTTTTTGATGAGACTTAACCACATTCAAGTGTTGATAAAAAAGATTAAATGACGCTAGAATAAAACGGTTTGTTTTGTTTAAAAGCAGAAGCTCTGTTCTTTCTTTTGACATATTGCATGTTCAGATATTCATACAACAAAATATTCTGGGGGCCATGAAATTTGTAAAAATGATCAAAAATGCTGGCACTGGCTGCTAACTTAAAAAAAAAAAAGATTAGTGGGGAAAAAGTTAATTTATTAATTACATAGTAATAGAATTTAATATTATTTATGTTTTAAGTATATCATTTATATTAAATGCAATTAGCTGGACTAGAGTGTTTTATTTTTGACCCACTTAAGTAGGACTAAAGTACATCTTGTATGTAATTTCATAATTACTTCTATCTTTTAAATATGGTTAAAATGTAGCCAACTGCCAAATGTACTGCCAAGCATTTATCATAGTATAGACGTTACTGTCATTTGTATGGAAATGTGTACGTCATGTATTTAAAAATATTTGTAATTACACGTTTGTTGAAGTTGTACATTTAAAAAATATTAACATTAAATGTAATATCGATAAGACGCTACAGTTAAAATCAAGTACTTTACATGTGCTTAAGTATTATATACAAATTGTATTTCTTCAAATTTTTGTAATAATTTGAAATTATTACAAAGTGCACCATTTACAAGTTAAATTACTTAAGTGTGTTAAAGTCATGAATTTGTACTTTTTTAAGTACACTGAAGTGGACTTTTTTTATTCATATTATATTATATTATCAAATACAATTATATTAAACTTATACATCACCTAGAAACTCTTATTTTTCACCCTCACCCTTCCAACCACCTGACTTCATGTAACTTTTCACAATAAAATCATTTCCTGAAGGATAAAATCCAGTCTTGACCTACATTTTTTCTCATTAAATATCCTGTTTTACTTGGAAACACATCAGATTACAGATGTAAAATCAGTTGCAAAGCGCTACTGATATTTCCTGCTATTTAAACTGAGCCTTTATTCAGTTCAAAAATGCCGCTCCAACATCTCCAGGAAAAGCAGTGAGGTCACTGACCTATTGTTCCTGGAGGCCATCTCCTCCCGCAGCTTCTTGATGTCACTGCGACATTTCTCGATCTCCACCACCTTCATCCCCTCCACTGAAGAGACAGAGAGGAAACACACATAGTGCATACAAGTATGACACATAAAAGATGGTTTACATATTTCAAGTGAGCCAAACACAGATAAAATATGGAAATGAGATGGTGAACATGGGTTCCAGCCGCAGAGTTTTTTCCTACGCACGATTTTCCTATACAGACTGCTGAGCCATAAAAAGTACATTTGACACCTGTCACTGTCTGGCATGTTTCCCTCCATTGTCCAAAATCATCCTGCTGGTCTGAAGTGCAAGCAGCTTTGTCATCTATTTGACAGCTTTTTTTATTTACATCTCAAACCTTGGTTGTGAGGATAAAGATATGTCACACAACCTTTCCATGTTGGCAGCTGTCTAATTTAGCTGCTTCTACCAAATAATAGATGAATTTCGAGCCAAAGTACTGTCCCGTTTGATTAGACACACGACCTCTGCACTCACATTGTATAATTTAATTAGTGTAATCATATACATCATATAATCTCTGGACTTCCTGCTACTATTCTGTTTATAGGCCATGCACAGTAATAAATCACCTGAAATGACTTTCTCATATCCTCCTGGCATAATGTGCAGAGACAGCTCATTTGTACAAGAAAGTCGTAGGAATGTAAACACTTGCATTATTGAAACAGCACTGTTTGACTGATCATTCCATTCAGTCCAACACAGCAACACATGCGTAGCAGCCTATACTCTATAGTGCAGAAACAGTATCATGGTAGTATGTTGTTCCAAAAACACCCACAGTATTTGTGCGTAATTGATAGGATATTGAAAAGCCAAGCAGAAAAATATATTATGTTGACAATAAATCTACTAAGAAACAGTCTTGGAATGCAGATGAATCACAGAATCTGTCCAAAAAATGACCTTGTATATCTACGTTTGCTTTGAAATCAATAAAATATTATAATCACTTCTCTGCTCATGATAACACATTTAAATTGAAAAGACTGCAGTCCACCCCCGCTGCAGAAATGTTCGCACAATGAAAAATGGAGTTGCTCTTGTGAACACACGCAGCTTTCCGCACACTCCATTTATGGAGATTTGAGAACATATGAGTTATAACTCCAGAGCTGTTTCAATCTTCATAATAAAACAAACCCTGTTTCCCATTTCAACCGGAATGTAAACACTATCAGTGAAAGCACAGCACTGTAGATGTGATTCACACACACAAAAACATTCAGGGTACACTCTTAAAAATAAAGGTGCTTCACGATGCCATAGAAGAACCTTTTTGTCTAAATGGTTCTATAAAGAACTTTTAACATCTGAAGAACCTTTCTGTTTCACAAATGGTTCTTTGTGGTGAAAGAAGGTTCTTGAGATTATAAAAAGATAAGCAAGAGATGGTTGAGACTGAATGGTTCTTTGTGGAACCAAAAATGGTTCTTCTATGGCATCGCTTGAAGAACCTTCTGAAGCACCTTTATTTTTAAGAGTGTAAGTGAAATCCCATTCAGAACATCTGATACTTACCTGCAAGTTGTCCGCCAGTTATTGGCACCACTTTGTACGGTGACCTTCAAAAACACCAGGACAGACAAATGAAGTTACAAAGCAGTTGGCGCCACACTAAAACACGTCCCCTCTCCCTACAGGACAATCCAGTAACTCCTCATGAGAGCTACAGTTTTCTGTAGCATTTCCATCCAAGATGTCTACTCCTCTGGCAGCCGATTGTGATTGTGACAGTGAATGGGTACATGGTTCTCAAAGAGTAACTTCCCCTTTATCTATATCTGGCCGCCATCCATTGTTTGTCTAGCATGTAGGGCAGATCTCCATATAACCAACAGATAAGGCTCAGACAGTAGGCTAGTTTACTGGGCTTCTCATCTCTGAATGTTTAAACAACGTCTTTATGTTTCCCTGAGTGTGTCTGCAAATTGGCGTTAAATTGGATCATTGGTTTTATATTATAAACTCTCCAACATTTAGTCTTTAACAAAAAAGTTACTGCTAAGAGAGATGAAATACTCTAAAGAGTTTGGCCATTTTAATTAACCTATAGAAAAAAAGGTCTATATAAAAAGTAGTGGAATGACTTGTTTGCTTTATTTCTTACCTATAAAAACACCATATGGTGGACCATTTGCTATAAAATCAGTGTTAAAGGGGTCATATGACGTTGCTAAAAATTTTTACATTTTACATTTTTTAACATTATTTTGTGTATTTGGTGTAATGAAATGTGTTTATGAGGTTTAAGGTTCAAAAAGCACATTATTTTCTACATACTGAACATTATTGTTGCTCCTCTATGCCCCGCCTTTCTGAAATGCATCGATTTTTACAAAGCTAATCGGTCTGAAAAGCAAGGTGTGCTCTGATTGGCCAGCTATCCAATGCGTTGTGATTGGCTGAATACCTCAAGCTTGTGACGGAAATGTTACGCCCCTCACATACTGTGATGCCCTGTGGGCGGAGTGACGAGACAAAAACATTAAAACCCATTATACACGAGGAATTTGTTGCATCCAGTGGGGACATAATTACTGATTATAATGACTTATACTGTCTTTTTACGCATTGCGTTGCATTGCGCTGCGTAAACATAAAAACATGTCTGCATTTGTGATCGGAGAAATGACAAACAACAAGCGTCAGTGGCAAATCCTTTAAATATGAAAACGTACTTACAGGCTGTGAGTCAGCATTATTTGTCTGAACATTGTAGGCTACTCTCCCAGGAAACAGTCCTCGTCCTCCGTAAAATGCGTTGCACACATCTGAATATTTGGGTAGAACTGTTCTGGAACAGTGTTGTAAATACAAATTAACCACTGATTTCTAGTCGTGTCCTCTTTTGGAAGGCCAAACAAAGTAGTTTCGCTTTCACAACGAAACACAGCATCTCCACGGCATGGTGGCAGCAGCAACAATACTACAGCGAGAATCAAAGTTACGCCTTCCTTCTTTGCGTGAACATTTGGGTGGTGTTATGCAAATCTTCCCACACAGTGACATAGACATGTGGGGGCGTGTTTAAACGAGGCGTTTTAGGAGGGCATGGACGAGTCTTAACTTTTATAAAGAATATCTCTTTGGGTTTGAGACTTTAGTCTTTGCAACTTTAGGGATATTATCTATTCACGAACAGCTTGTAACACTCCAAAGAGAAAGGAAAACTTGAAATCGCATCATATGACCCCTTTAAGAGATTCTGACTAAATGAAATGTTTTGACATTAGTGTGTGAAACTGATTCAGAGGTATGCATGTGTATAAGGCACTTTTACAGCTAAAAAGCATTGGATTTATGTTTATAAATGGGATGGAGGGCTATGTTACCTCTCTGAGTTGTTTGGCATTGTGGGGTCAATGGAGACCATTGCTCCTGTTGAGTCCAGAAGGGAGATGGTTGTGTTCCTGTCAGCAGCAGATACATTCTCTAAATATGGGAGCACTTCAAAAGTGGAAACACTTCAATTACACACACACACACTCACATATATCGTACTGTACCTGGAGAGCCCTGTGGCAGTGCAGAATAACTCTTTTATATCACATGGGCTGCAGAAACGGCTGAAAACCACCTAAAAGAAACAGAAAGTCTGATCAGTGTCTCTAAAATAAACTGAGCTTATTCAGTTAGGGTCACTTTTGACTTAAAATCCTGAAAAATAAAACTTCTTTATGCTATGTTAAAGATAAAACGATCTGATCATGACCTTGATCAGCCTGTGGATTTTGGTATGGTGGTGTGGATTTTTAATATCATGTGCAACGGTAATGGCGTGTGATGGTAAGGACATTTTGGGGCCTTGCACTTGCCAATACAATAAGCTGCATGTCAGTTCATGTCACTTCACATGGAACTTAAAATAAATTTGTTTTACGAATAAAAATGATCAAATGCTGAACAGGTTGGTAATGACACCTAATAAAGCTTCTCTCAGACCATGATGATGTTTCTGATTTTCAAACGGTTTCTCTGATGGCAGAAAAAGGCTCCCTTTTCATTTTCATTCCAACAAAACCAAATATAGAGAATTTAGCAAAACCTCAATATTTTTCTAAAATGTGTGGCATGATGGTAATGACACCATTATAAGGGACAGCAGTTCTTTGTTATGAAATTATTACATTTAGGCATACATTAGGCCAGATTTTAACACTTTTTAAAGGGGAAGTTAAAAATTCTGGGTAGGTGGCAAGATCATAACAAAAATCTGTCAAAATTAGTAAAAAGGTAATTAGTGATAACATTGTTTAATACTATAATGATATATATATATATATATATATATATATAGCAGAATCAATGACAATGTGAAATCAGTCTGAAGAATTCCATTTGAAAAGGTGAGTTTTAAAGTAAATTTCTTTAAAATTTTAAATATTTTATGAGATAAAGAATACCTTTAAGCATTAATAAATTGCACTGTGCAATCTCAAATTATAGCCTTTAAAACTATGCAATGATGATTGCTTTAAAAACCGTAAAAAATCACCCTAGAAGGCAGAATCAATGCGACTATGGTTATCTTCATAATTTCTATGTATGATGCTGACCATCACAGTTTATCGATTATTTGAGACTCTGCACACAGCCAAGGCCAAGTGCTGTCGTCCATCATTTGTATGTAGTGTCAGTCCTGACCCTGAGCACTCTGACCCACTTACAACACAAGTATATCTATCATCAGCAGGCACAAGACAGCAAAAACAGGTGACAACACAAAAAAGACAATGAGGGGGGTGCAGCTGACAGACCGAGCGAAGGAAGAGAAAAAGAGAGAGAGAACGATAATAAGACTTTGAGCTGCAAAAACAGATGAGAGTGAGCAAAAGGGTGGGAGAAAGAGGGAGAACGGGGGAATTGTTCCATAATACAATTGCAGGTTCTGAGTTCAAATATATGAGAAATACTTATTAGTGTCCAAAAAAGGGGCTACTAATTGTGCACATTGTCAAAGATGAAACATAAAACCCACAACTAACAGCCTAAGAGAATAGAAATGATAAAATGATGTACCACCAACCACGGTGCAAAACTCTGTTATAATAGTTATTTTATCAGTGGAGCATCTAAATACAGTTCTCTGAGAAGTTTCTAGTATTTTCAGGACTGTAGAGCTGTAATTGAATACCCACTAAAAAGCCTGAAGACATGCAGTCGCACTAGAACAAAAATGATACTTCACCACTTCTCCTGTTGTATACACTGTGTGTGTGTGCACAAAGTGTGGGTGTATGCATACACACAGATGTGCTCATTAAAATGTCCATTTGTTTTTCATTGTGTTCTAAGCTTTAAAAATGCTGATTATTTTGTTTTTGTCCCATTGCCAAGGCTGAACAATGGCAGGCAGATACCCATAAGCATTGTATGACTCTAATAATGTATGCAAAACACACTAATTTGGTGCAAGCAATGATTTAGTCCCAATTTATATTAGTTTATGCATGTAATCACACGCGTACAGAAATAGCATGCATCATAATTGGCACCCCATTGTAAAAAGTGCTATTATAATAGTCTACTAGTAACAAATAGTATTTAAGCTTACTTTTATTTTACAGTGACACTTTGTAGAAGCAGAACTGAATATCATGTCATGCATTTTAATGCACACTGTAAAAAAGGTTTTTAATTTTCACAGGAAAAAACTTTTAAAATGCTATAGTAAAAAACTACTACTCTGGTGAAAGACTCCTTTAAAAGTAATTTTACTGTAAAATCTGTCAAATGTATGGTCTTTAGAAGTTAAAACTATGAATTACCATATAATTTAAAGTGCAAAACTGTAAAATGATATTTCCAGAAGTGTAATTAATATTTGTTGCATTATTTTCATGTCAGGTGTGTTTCCCTGGTGGCGTCTTGTGTTTGTGCGTATGACCCTGTGCCCTGTCTGTACTGGCCATGATTTATGAACAGGGCACTTACGATGAACTCTGATTCATCATGTGGTTTTCTAGTATACCACCTGTATTATCGTGGTGGTTATCAGTACATTCTGAGATAAAAAGCCAAATTAGGTAGTTCAAGTAGACTGGTATATCATTACGTCACTTGACAAAATCCCTGAAACATTGCAAGTGAATTTCTGGCCTCTATTTATTTCACTGTAAACTTAACAGGATATATTTAAAGTGCAAGCACATACGGTAGTAGTTAAGACACTTAATATAAAGTGTGACCAACAAACTAGAAACTGATTGTCACTTGGATACCTGTAATTTAACTGATAATATCTCAACCATGCCAGATCTATTAATTAGAAACATTATTAAAGGCTATCAGACCGGCTGTTCACTTGCAACCTCATGACAGAGTTGAGATTTTCCCCGAAAACATGACCCAGCCTGAGTTTTATAATGTGGTGAAGCATCACATACTGGCTACTCCGTGTGTAAAAACTAATCAAACGTTTTATGAAGGCAACCTGGAGTCATTAAAAAGAGGGTGTGAATAACAGTAAGAGTGAAAATGTACAGATCGGTGAAAATGATTCATATGACTAGAATACTTAAAAATTCTGTTATAGGTGAACGCAAGTAAAAGCAAAAATAGAAAAGCTACAATGCAACATTAATAATCTCCAAAGAGCCATATAGTCAAATCAGTCAGTCATTTCTGGCTGTTTCATTTAATTTTCTTTGAAGATGTTTTAGGTAAAGAAAAGATCAATTGAACTGCTCCATCTCAATCTACATGTACATTTAAAAACTCTACATTTGAATTTAATCTACTGTAGTTCTCAAATATGCATTGGTAAATAATCAGGTGTTTACTGTATAAAATGGTAACATGGTTCAATATTCAAGGTTGTTCTGTACTGACAAAATAAAATATACGGTGATTAAATGTTACTTTTATGGATTTGTACATCATTTTAATATGATGGAGTATATATTATATATTTATATATATTATTATAATATTATTATATAAGCAGTTTTAAAGCATGTTACCAAAAGAGTCATATAATAAACATGATCCTATACAGATACTAAAGCCGCTGAAACTTTCTGAACCGTTCATTTGTTAATGTGCTTTCTTTCCGCCATGCATGTAACGTTAGTGCGAGTTATACCTTCTGAGTCCGTCCATCCAGGTCCAGGTATATCATCCGATGCGCGGAAGACGCGCTGCCCATCTCGCTCCCCTCTCTCCGTCCGCTGCCCTGGACTAGACTAACGTTACCGGCTTCCGCTCGTTCGGTGCCGCCGTGACAGCCCTAATATACACTTCTGACCGTTTCTTTGAACTGGAACGGATTTAATAACGCAGATACTGTGTTTCTCATCGCCACTGATCACTCGTCGCCCCCCCCTTCACTCCCACTAGCGCGCGCTCTCCTTATGATCTCCATAGTAACCGAGACAACTCATATTTTTGATTCCAAATATGATTCCAAATTCCTAAGTTCTTTTTAACATTAAGTGAACATAAATGTGAATTTTAAATAATTCCACAATTTTTGTTTTAGCAGTTTGCGCACACAAAATATCTAGACCTACCAGATTTTTTTTGGTCTTTACTTTAAGTTGATAAGTTCATATTAATTAACTAATAAGTTAATACTTTACTAAGAATTTTTTTTAATGCTATTAATGAAAATTCAAAGCTAGATCTTCTAAACCACTTCTTTACCCACATACACTATATAAATAAATATATTAATAAAATACATCTATACTAGCGGCTTATATTTTAGAGATGTCGGGATGGATTTCGCGGGAAATTGCACGCATATCCATCCTACATTGGCTCGTTGGAAAAGATATTAAGGTTGCTGGTTTTTTTCGGTCATAATTAACGAAAGAGAAAAATTTACCACAGATCATAGAACCTCCGGTGAATCACTATTGTTAAATGTTGCTATATCTGATATTTCACATTCATCCCGGCGATTGAGGCGAAAGACAACCAGAACAATGTTCTTCCGCAAGATGCATGCAGTTTTATTTTTTAACTGATGTGTGTGTGTCTGTGTGTGTGTGTTTTAAATTACATAAAAAAAAAAAAAAATTGGTAATCAGTTTTTATTTGTGCTCAGTATCACTTTCCCTATTAATCCTTCCCTTTAATGTACAAAAGCCAGTTCCACTGAAGAAATAGCCTACATTTTTAAATGAACTATACTTTCAAAAGTAGGGTGGGAAAACAACAGCACAAAGATGATTATTAATGGATTTGATGAATTCTTTAATTCCTTAAATAACAATAAAAACTAATAATTTTTACTGCATAACAGTAAAGACCCTAATGTAAGGTGAAATAATCATGACACAATAATGAATTCATGAAGGTTAGTCTGGGTTGTGGGCGGTGAGGTGGCAAATTGAACACAGGGGTTCAGCACTAGAGTCATTCAGGGGAAGCGTGTGATTCACTGTGGCAAGTCAAATGATTCATCTGTTATACTGTAAAGACCCGAGCGGTGAAACATGCTCATTATACTCAATTATATGCATGTATGACTTCACACAGCGTGGAACACTTATCCTTTCAACAGAGAAAGTGTGTCTGTTTTGTTCTCACTGCCTGACTGCCACCTGTCTGTGTGTGTGCACTGATGATTGTCACCTGCACATGGACACTCAAAGCACTCGATGACTCTCACTGACCTCTTAAGATGAGACCGGTGTCTGTAGAATATCTTATTATCTAGAGCTAGAGCGGATAATTATTTTATGTAAAAGAAACAGAAAACAATGTGACAATGGTTTCTACACTTTCTGAACAATAGATTTTCATTTTTGTTATTACGCCTACTGGATAAGAATTTTTCAAAATTCCTTTGTAGAGAAATGGTCAGTGCACTGAATATATATTCAATTCTGTATTATTATTTTATTTTACTTAATTCTGCATGAACAGTTATATATATAAATATATACAGTGGTGTGAAAAAGTTTTTGCCCCCTTCCTGTTTTTTTTTTAAATTGTTTGCATATTTGTCACACTTAAAAGATTCAGATCATCAAACTAATTTTAATATTACACAAAGATAACCCGAGTAAATACAAACTGCAGTTTTGAAATTATGATTTCATTTATTAAGAGAAAAAAGCTGTCCAAACCTGCCTGGCACTACGTGAAAAAGTAATTGCCCCCTAAATCTAACAACTGCAATCAAACGTTTGCGATAACTAGCAATGAGTCTTTCATGTCGCGGTGGAGGACTTTTGGCCCACTCCTCTTTGCAGAATTGTTTTAATTCAGCCACATTGGAGGGTTTTCGAGCATGAATGGACTGTTTAAGCATCTCAATCGGATTTAAGTCTGGACTTTGACTTAACCTTAATTTAGTTTTTCTTGAGCCATTCAGAGGTGGACTTGCTGGTGTGTTTGGGATCATTGTCCTGCTGCATAAACCAAG